TTGGTTGCTATGGTCTGTAACAGGGGAGGGGGGTGGGGTATGTGTATGTAATGTTCTCTTTCGTTGCTATGGTTTCTAAGGGGGCCTGCCTGTAAGGGTGGGGGGGGGGGGGGCAAGGGGGGGCCGCAAACCTTGAACTTAAAACTTACACTCACTATTTTCTTCGAAAATATACGTGAGTTCCACAAAAAGTAGTTGATTCGCTTTGATAAATAGTGAAGTTAAAAGATTTTACTTTTTGTCCGAACTTTTAAAACATTCTGTAAAGGAAAACGATACACAGCATTTGATATAGATAGATTTTTGTATTTATTATTATTCTTAATCGATTATAATTCTGTAATAAGAATCTTGTCACTTCTCATAATAAGAAATAGCAAATGATAATAGTTCTCTGTTAGTGTTGTATTGGTTTTCTTTGTTTATAAACGGCCAAAAGCAGATTCGTTAATTCTCTTCTAAAATTCTCTTGTGCATTTGTGGTATAGTCTTGAGCTGTAGAATATTGACCGATAGGTATTTGAATTGTTTTACCATTGATATTACTACTAATGGACAATGTCATCACATGTCCTTCTTCGCTACAACTCGCCCAACATGTGATGATTACTGAATAGAAGGAGGTAGTTCGTCCACGAAGTGAATGATAAGTGAGCACATCATCATTGCGACATTCATTGATTGAACTGTGCGGACTATGAACCCATGTACAACATCCATCGGACCATTCATATTGATTTTGTCCATTTTCCAAAAAATATTTCTTCGCCTGACAGAATGCTTTTGATGCTTTTTCAAAGGCATCTTGCTGAGCGTTATCGGCTGCAATAGGTGTAGTTGTTAATGAATCGGAGATCGATATCAGTTCTTGAAAAATAGTATCAATTGTATTCAGTTTAGGTTCGATCGGTATCAACAGTTGAAGAATCGACTCCAATCGACATTCGAGATCATTGATCGTCCATGGATGATGATGCGGACAGCCAAAAGCACGATCAAAGGTATCCATCAAATACATTTTTAATTGTTCTTCCAGCGGTACTTGTAGATTCAAGTCTAAATAAAATAAAAATATCTTGTTATAGTCTATACCTTGTACATTCTAAAAGAAATTATTTCTACACCAAGAGTGATTGTTGATCAAACTTAAAAATAAAGCCTATTCATCTATCAGTTCTTTTTTCGAGTTATCTGAGAGTGAAGTGTCAATTACATACTTGTGAATTTGACGGCACTCTTGATCGTGTCATTGAGTTTATCACGAGCTCGTAGATGAGGAGTTTCGCCATTGTCATGTCGAGGATCTATCTGTGTGAGTAACCAGAAAAGAATCGCACAGATACCAGATGGATCAACTGTCGAACTCAATCCATTATCATCTATTTGTGGTGCATGATACCATTTCTGTGTTGATGATGTAACTGACGTGTGTGTTCTGTTCGATATGATCACAGCCTGACTGAAATTCAGTACAGTCAGTTGAGCACGATCGATCGAGGTTTTTGAATCCCATTCGATCATAATATTTTCTGGAGACAAATTCTGATGGAAAATCCCTTTATTATGCACCTGTTGGAGGATTCTGACCAGATTGAGAGTGAGTTGAATCGCTGCTGAAATTTCAAGGACACCTTGACACTTTCGTTCGATAAATTCTTTTAATGAACAGCCAGGTGCTCGTTTCATAATTATCCATAGATTGTCACTGTCAACACGTCGTTGAGCAAGATTGTTCGACGCATTTTCTGGTTCAATCACCTGACTTACACCTTTCACATCTGAAACAGAAATGATTAACACAAATGTGAATCTCAATTATTTTTTTTCCAATTCTCATTACCTTTCAGATCTTTCATGACAATTATTTCTCGATAAACGTTACCAGAGAGTTGATTCGGGTAGATCTTGATCACGGCTAGACGTTTTCGATCGACTTTGCTACGTATTAATAACACCTTTGCATCGCTATTCGATGCTTTGTTTGTTATCTCCCATTCATCTATCGGCACACCGTTTGGTAACTGATCTGTAATAGAAAGAAATACTTGAAAATATTGCTTAATCTTTCAAGAACAGAAACTTACATTTCGCATCGACTGATGATGTGATACCTTCTGATGAGTTTGCATGATGCAAGTTAGTCTTTGATGAAGCTCCAGTAATATCATTCAAAGCTTTGCCACAAATGCGCCGATCTCTATCCGCTTCGCGGTTGTCAAATGTTATTGACATAGTATTGTCTGTATCTCTCAGATGAGATGCTTCTTGACTGCTTTGGACACTGCGAACATCTCGTGAGCGACTACGAGGACGGTGATATTTCAGTTCTTCATCAATTGATGCTGCTCGCGATCGAGAGCGATTATGGCGAGTAAATGATGTTGGATTGAGTTCCAATTGACATTTGAGTTTTTGACCATTGACATTCTGATTATGCCACTTGGTCATCAACTGCCTGGCATATTTCATAGTTTTGATTTTGACCACATAACCAACGCGATTATGTTTGTGATCGACATAATAATTGTTGTAACCGAACTGTTGAGCGAGGTTTTGTCGTGTTACTTCGGCTTCAAAACCAGTGATTTTAACTCGATAGTCAGTGGTCGTTGTTACTACATCTAATGACAAGAGAAGCAGATTTTTTCCTGTAGTTGCAATCTAATCAAAATAACGGGTGGGACAACAGTTCTGCATTAATTTCATTTTCGATTTACCACTTTAATGAAATGTTGTAGAGATTTCATATTCTTTTTGTTAGAAAGAGCAAAGTGTCTAGTGCAAAATGTTCAAAATAATTTCATTGAAAATGCTTTTTAGAGATCACAGAAACTTTAGAATAAAAAGCGTCAAAAAATAATTCCGCAACTTTGGAAAGATTTTCTCTATCCGAAAATATTTATCTTAGCTTTTTCGTTATCGCCATGCAGTATTTTCGAGAATCATATACATACAACTATCTATTACAAAGAAGGCTTTCGTTTGACATTAAAATCAATTCGTCTAGCATAGAAGAAAAAATGAACAGAAGAATATTTCATTTAAAAAAAAAATCAATTTAGCGACTTTGTGGTTGACAGCATGAAAACGAATAGTTGGCTGGATATCTCACAGAAAATTTGTGTCGTATTTCAACTATTGTTGTATGATAAACGACTCATTAAACATTGCTTCTCATAGAAAATATATAACTTCCCAAGAGAGACAAAGCATACTTCTAAACTTCAGAAGTACGAAGAAGTACCGAGCAGTTTCAAGAAATACCAAAAAAATATCGAGAAGTATCAAGAAATACAAGCTGTTATTGGGAATTTCCAATAGCAGAATATTTTTGTTCTGTTTTTGAGAAGAAAATATTTTTTACCATTTCCCAATTAGAGCTGTGACAGCTCACAGTCTTAAGAACTGACTCTTTTTTTGAGAACTGGATATAGTGGTCGCTTTTTCACAATGGACTTGTTCTATCAATCATGGTGATCTAGCGATATTACTCGATACTAGAGGTGTACATCTCACGCTCATGAGCGCTCATCTGAGTGTGAGTGCCTGTTCTGTACTTTGGATATGCGAATCAGGTATTGTAACGATAAAGCATACTATAATCCGGGTCATATAAAAGAGAGTCTTGGATAACCTTCTGATCGACTCGAACAACACTATGTTTTGTTCTTACAATAGCTGAGAAACAGGTTCCTCGAATGTGATTGGTTCATTAACAGTCAATCAGATTTATAGTAGGGTTTGCTTCCATTGTGTGGACAAAATATAGTGTGGTTTGGGCCAGTCAGGGGTTATCGGAGTCCTCATTCATATGACCCGAACGACAGTATGCAGTGTCCTTGCAATAGTTGGCTTGTATATTCAAAGTATAGAAGAAACGCTAGCATTCATATGAGCGCTCATGAGCTTGAGCGTAAAACATACAGAGGTTTTCTTTTTTTTTGTGGTACACAATTACACTACCCGTCCATTTTAAAACTCAGATTAGACGAGTAAAAATATGGTCGCTCAGATTTAATCAAATCGTTTTCAAGTTCAAAAAAAGTTGCGGGACTTTTTCGACGTGTTTTATTCTAAAGTTTCTGTGACCTCTAAAATACATTTTCAATCAAATTATTTTGAACATTTTTGTACTAGACACTTTGTTCTTTCTAACAAAAAAATGAAACATCCACGACATTCCATTACAGTGGTAAATCAAAAACAAAATTAATGCAGAACTTTTTCTCCACCCATTGCAGCTAGTAGAAAGTGTCTAGTACGGGATTTGTGGACAACAAGGATACAATATTCTATCTTTATCCATTTTCAACTTCGTATTGCTGTATTTTATTAATTGAAAGTTTGACTTACTACTTGGAGAATCGTGTTCTGATTTCATTCCCAATTTATGACCGTAAGGACAAGTCGATGCACAAGTACCCTCTGCTGTACATAGTATATGGTCCCAATGACATTCGTCTCTACTTTTTTGACATCGACCAATTCGAAATTTATTACATAATTCCAATGCATCTTCTTCTTTCTCACATTGAATGATTGATTCTTCAATGGATTCTCCGTTCCAACGTTGAACGAAATCGTCCACTTCTCTTTCATGATTGGCGTTTTTCAGCCAACATTGTGTTGATGAAATTGGATCACTGGCGAAAGGGTCCATAATAATGTCATAAATATCCCAATCAAATATTTCTGATAAAGTTTCAGCATCTGTATTTGCCGGTAATTTTGTAATACGAATGCGATATTTTTTTCGGGTAGGCTAAGACATGAAATTCGTTCATCTGCATAGAAAACAGAGAGCACGCTTGAATTCAAGAAAAAAAGGCATAGACGTACTCATTGTCACTTGTTTCAAGTTGGATTTCTTCGATATTACTCCAGGATTATTGTTGTTGAGAGTCTTTAGTGTCGGTCCCGGTACAGACAAACGTCTGCGTGGCATGTTTCGATCACCTTTCTTAACACTGACATCAATTTGTCCGATGCGATGTGGAGAAGCCAAGAGAATTTTGTCGACTGAATCATAACTGAATCGAAAGGAACATGAATTTGATAAACTCTTTGTATTCTATACAGTACTTACTAATCAAAATCAATGAACCATGTATTGTCGTCGTTTTTCATATTACTGATGTTACATATTTCACCATATCTAGAAAAGTATCTTCTGATATCTGATTCGACCAATGATTGATGATTGAGACTGGAAACAATTAACTGTTGTATTCCATAATTGTCCTTCACTGATCGTTGTGCTGGGACTGACCGATGAATAAAAACTTCTTTACCATCGATTCGATGAACACGTTGTGACATCACAGTATCAACACTTTCTTCATTCCGAAACACGACGATGCCATGCATTTTATTTTTACCTGAATAAAGTAAATAAGATGTCTTCCTTTATCGACATTTCTTTATTTCACTTATAGCATACTGTATCTAAGGCTTGTTTTCTTATCAATTAAAAATGACGTTGCAATCCTACCTGTTTCATCAAGTGGAACTGCAGCCCATTCAATTAGATACTCCGAGAAATAATCTTCTAATGATCGTTTTGTCGTTTCAGAACTTATTTTTTGAATAAATATTTTCCGTTTGTGCAAGTCAATATCCGTTTCTGCCATATTCTACATGAATGGAAAATGAAAAAATTCATTCTTTGTAGGCATCTCTCAGCTGTAGTACTTACAGTTATTTCCATTTTATACAGATTGTCACGGATAATACGAGTACTTGAAGCTTTTATATCTACAATACTAAACAGAAAAAGTTTGTTGATTCAATGTTAAAGAAACTAGCGAATGAAATATGCGCTGTAGTGAGATATTACCATCACATAGAAATGAAAAATGAAGTTTTTCACAAATTATTGTGCAACAACTTTTTTTTGTTTTTTCAAAAGACAGTTATAACGAAGTGATTGTTTGGTAGAACAAAGAATCTTTTTCTTAAACTTCGTTCATAAAGCGT